GAGGGGAAACTCATCAAGAAGATGGGCGACACCTGACTCACCTCCACAGGCTGCAGACCTCCAAGCTGGGCTGGGGGAGGATCTCTTCAAAAGGCTCACCCTCAGGCATAGCCAGGAGCCTTTGGATCCCAGAAACCCTTCAGAGGCCCCTCTGCACCCCCCTGATTTCTCTGGCTTTTACCCGAGGCTCTTCCGGACAATATTACCCATTCTTTTAACCAACCTGGAGACCTCTCCCATACATCAGACCAAGTGAAACAATAAAGCTTTTGCAGCAATAAATAAATAAATAAATAATGCTTCAGTGAACTAGGTGTACATGTATTCTTTTGAATCAGTGATTCAGGTTTCTTTGGGTATATTCCCAGAGATGGGATTGCTGGGTCAAAAGGTAGTCCTATTTTTAATTTTTTGAGGACACTCTATACTGTTTTCCACAGTGGTTGTATCAGTCTGCATTCCCACCGATAGTGTACATCCTTGTCAATATTTGTTGTTTGTTGAATGATTAATTATAGCCATTTTGACAGGCTTGAGGTGATACTCATTGTGGTTTTAATTTGCATTTCTCTGATTAGTGACTTTGAGCATCTTTTCATATGTCCTCTTTGGAGAAATGTCTATTCAGACGCTTTGCTGCTTTTTTAATTGGATTGTTTATCTTCTTGGTATTAAGTTGTATAAGTTCTTCATTAATCTTGGATATTAACCCCTTATCAGATACAAACAACATTTTTAAATACTAATAAAATAAAGACTTTCTTGAAAACATTCTCAAGAATAAAGAAATGAAATTGGTGAATAATAATTACTAAACTCAGAACATAAGAACAGTCTAGGACTTCTGAAAATAACAAAGGAGAATGATCACCAACATTCCTTTAAAACACTCTACAGATAACACTTTCACCAAAATGCTTTACAACTTTATATCTTTTATTCAGGAAATTAAGGAGCCTACATAAAGTCCCCAAACTAAACTTGGCTCCTAGATAACTCTCCTTAAAGTCAGGAATGGCTTTGTTTGGGGGTTGGGAGCAGCCTGACAGAAGGATGATCTCTCATTGGTGCCCTAGTGGATGTAAAGGTTCAGCAACTCAAGTCTATCAACCAGGTCGGCTCTCCCAGCAGGTCTTTGGAAGGCACACCTCAATGGCACACCTCAATTAGGGAGACATAATAGCTACTTTTAGTCTTACTAAAGAGCTATACTATAAACAGTGGTAGAGCTTTCTTCTACATGACTGGAAAATACAGAAGTAGGACAAAGAGATGGATACTGCCCTCAGACAATGAAAATATGAAGAATGTATACTAATTGGAGTTCAAAATGGAATGAACAGTTTAATAAATAATGAGAAGTATTGTCATAAATTAATCCAGATGACCTATGAACCTTTTCTCAATCTTAAAGTCTGACACTTAGAAATAAAGGCAGAAAGGAGCTCTGGCCCATGTGGCTTGATAGGTTGGTTGTCATTCCATACACCAAAAGGTCCCCAGTTCGATTCCCTGTCAGGGCACATGCTTAGGTTGTGGGCTTCTCATCCACAATAGGGGGCCTTCATGAGGCAACCAACTGATGTTACTCTATCTCTTCCTCTCCTTCTCCCTTCCTCTCTCTAAAATCAATAAAAACATTTTTTTTTAATGGCAGAAAGGATAGGAGCAATTCAAACTATTAAGAAATATGTTTTGTTCAAATTATTATAAGGAGACTGGGTTTGGAAGCTTTTATTTTTTCCCTTTTGTAACAATGGTACATTTTGCATTTCAGTAGAAAACAGTAAAGAATACAGTATCTTAAAAAGCTATTGCCTCTTATTAGTGTGAACTGATTTTTCCCACTGCATTGGATTAGAATCAAGGACTATAAACCAAACTAAAAGCATAGCCATTCTGAAGCCTAATGTTCTGAAAAACATCAATAATGTTTGTCTCCCTTTTAATTATTTTTTTTAAAAAATCAATCATATTTATTTGCTTTGTGGACATAGCATATGTGCCAGAGAAAGAATAATCTTATATTTTAACCATGCGATCGTTTCTGCTTCCTTTGGGGAATAAAAAAGAAAAAAGAAAAAGCTTTTACATTCTATCTTTTCTCAGGCCAAGGAAAGGGTTAAGAACGTTACAGAAGAGTCCTGAATTTGAGCATTGAAAACCTGGCAACCAGCCCAGAGTCCGTTTCCAAAAAGAAACAGCTATCCTGGGCCTGTACAAAGGAGGTGGTTGCCCTAGCAACAGTATCTGATAAAAGAAAGCATGGCCGACAGGTACACACAGATTGTTCCAGAGAGAGGAAAGCCATTCGGCTGCTGCTGCACTCGCTTGAGGAGTCATTTAGCAAATCTCAAGTTTTAAAGCTGAATCCTCTAATTTCCAATTGCACAGATTTTCTGGGTAATATTTATTCAGGTCAGGATCAATGTATTCATAATTTGGCATTTTTGTAGTGATAGCTGAGAATAGGTATGCCTTTTAACTTAAACACAGCCACCACAGATGATTGTTGAGCTACATCAGCTAACTCAAAATAGAAAGAGTTGCTCAAATTATGCACTGATTTTTTCCTAAGGTTTTGAATTCAATTCTTTAATATGTCCCAGTTTCCATTTTTATCCATATGTGGAGCTATGACTTTCATATGAAACATTCAGATTGCTCAGATCCTTCATTATTTCCTTTTACATGATTATTTGACATTTGTGCTGTCATCTTTTTAATAAACACTTTTTCAGTGTCCCGTGTGTCCTGATTTTAAGTGAATATTTCTTGATAAAATATTTTGTGAAAATAACTTTCAAGATTTTTACAATAGCTCTAAAGTAGGTATAGTCGCTAATGCTGCTTGCATGATTATAAAGAATGGATACTTCCTTTAAGTATATTTTTATTGATTTCAGAGAGGAAGGGAAAGGGAGAGAGAAAAAGATACATCAATGATGAGAAAGAATCATCGATTAGCGGCCTCCTGCACAAGCCCACAACCTGCATGTGCCCTCAACTGCAATCGAACCCAGGACCCTTCAGTCCGCAGGCTGATGCTCCATCCACTGAGCCAAACCAGCCAGGGCAAGAATGGATGCAATTTTTTTCTGAAAAGCTTGAAAAGAAAGATTGCTTACTAAAGTATCAGTTTCCCTAAAAGTGCACTTCAGATGGATTTATTTATAGTTTTTAGCACTATCTATTCATGTTGTGTTGAGTTGAGTTCTTCTATCATACTGTCATTAGCACCTGAGCTTAGTAAACCAGTTTGTAAACACATAGACTTTTATTCCCCACTCCCATCCCTGACTAGCCAATTTCACTTTCGAAAAACTGTGTAACACAAGGGAAACATTTAATAATCTTGTAGGACATCTAGGTCCTAATCCTCATTGTCTCAGGCAATATCCTTAGCCTCCTGAGGTCCTAGAGACAGAATACACTTTATGAAAGTGACCTCGAAGGCTCTTACCTGTGATGTTCCATGAAAATGCACCCTAGCCTACTGTGAGCACAAAGCAAGGCTCTCTGTGACCGACTCTTTCGATTTTGATTAGAGCTTCTTCAGTAAGTGCAAGTTTTCTCTGCACAAACACTCCTGATTTTCCTCAGCAAATTAAATGCTATCAGCTTTAAAATTCTAGGTAAACAGTTCATTATGAACAAAAGACTCCAATAGGTATTACTCGGGGATATTTTAATGCCTTCTGATCTGCCAGGCCCTTGGATTGGAGTACAAAATCCGTGGAACAAACTTAAAAGCATGCAGAAAGAGTGTATTGATTGCTTCTTTAAAATGTGGAATAGCAAAGCATAGGGTAGGACAGAAATCAACATAACTAGTTTTCTTTGGCAGAGGAGCAGGCTAGGACAATTTCAGGGTTGTCCATGATTAACTTGAAGGGCTCTCTAATCCAGTGTTTCTAAAATTTGAGCAGAACCTTTTCAAAGGAAAAATATATTAAACCATATATCCACTGTTAACTTGCATTGTTTTGACTGTGTTTGTAAATTTTTATAAATATAAAACTAAGTATAAACATCTTATGCTCAGGGGACTTAGTCAGCTACAAAAACAAATGTACAAATTTAATATGAATTAAACTCCAAAGCCAATAAAATTAAACTTATGTTAATTTAATGTGGTGAGTCATCTTGATATGCTGACACTTTAGCTGTTTGAAATTTGAACATTGTACTGACTGTGGTTTCAAAAGTATTTGGCATGCTACTGGGTGCCATCCGTTGCCTCGATTTACTCTCCGCTTGTCTCTACCCATACTCACGTGAAACTTTGTGTCATGCTTTATGACATCAGTTGGCCTTCACAACTGGGAAAGCATGGTGTGCATCCTTAATAGCATCCTATTCTTTTCTTGGCAGTTGCTGACTATCAGAGGTGTACCATTTGTGCCATTATGATCTAAACACAAAAAGAATATAGGGGCCAGTTCTAATGAAGTCATCTATGTGATCCAACATATGATCATATGAGCATATGATGCAGCATTGATTTTTTGTCTCTGTAGATTATAAAAATAACAACAGAAGAATCAGAAAATCATTGTAAAAAATTTACAAAGCCCTAATTGGAAAAACAAAATGAATTATGCTTTTCTTCATTTCTAAGTAAGTTTTCTCAAAACCCAATTTCTTCGTGTATTTTCACTGTTGATTGAATAACCAAGCAGCATTCTCCTTTCTTTCTCCCTTTCTGGCCTGTTCATAGGATCTGAGAAAAGCCAAATTTTGACTTTTACAGACTCCCTTCCAAGTAGGGGTGGCAAGATGATTTTATTTTGGCTATGACACAAACTTGGATGATGGCTTTGATTGCTGAAAGAGTCATTTGCTTTCCTCATAAAAGTGACAAGTAACCAAATGGCAAATTGTTTGTACTTCTATTGATGGAGGAATATACTAGTGGAATTCCTCCATAGTTTGTGAGAATGTGGTTCTTAGGGCATTGCTGAAATAAGAATTTTCAGAAGCTACCAATATGATGATGTGAGGTGGTAGAAGGTTTTATTGGCATGGAGTTACATTCCTCAGTTTCCAATGACCCATTTCTCCCAAGCTAGTCCTAAAAGAGTAGCATCTGGGAGTTCAACAGAATGAAAAGTAAGGCAGTGTCTAGAGCTTCCATTCAATGTTGCAGCTGGGTGTGGTTCAGCATCCACGCTAATTAAAGTCCATTAATCCATGTGTGGAGTCCAACTTGGCCATGATCCATGTGGACACTGGGGAGCTCATTCCCCTGCCACAGGAGAGCCATGAACCCTGGAAATGAGAGGGAGAAAAGAGACAGAAAGAACTCACTTCTTTGTTTGGAAGTTAAAATTTTAGGTTTTGCCACTTGCAGTGCCCACGCCCATCCTGGCCACTAATTTGTTCCCAGGTATGACTGGCAGACAGGTAGGCGCCTTTTCACTTCACTCATATCTTACTGGGCATGCATCTAAACTGCCTTTGTCTCATCCCTTCCCCAATGGCTCAGCAGGGAAGAGACTTGGAAAGTGTCAAACGCAGTTTTTTGGCAAAGCTGTATAAATGGCATGACTATATTACTTGGTCTCTCCTTTCAATCCTTCCTGTTAAATAATAACCAGGTTATTACAATCGCACCACGTTTCTCTCCTATTGTTTCTGTCTTGAACATAGACTTGTTTTTGTTTTTGATCCCTGGAAATATGTCAGATATCTCATAAGAGATTAAGGCCATTTAGTATGAAAGATAAGAAGACCCTATATCTTTGGTGATTTCTAGATTTCTTACTGGGTAAACAATATATGTTCCTATGTTGTAAGCCACTGTTAATCAGAAGTCCTGCTTCTCACAGCTGGAAACATTTCTGATATAGAGATCCTATATCATCCTCCACCAGACCTTAGATATTAATTCTGTATTTTTACATGAATTACTGAATGCATGTACACATGCTAAGAGTCTGTGGCCCTTTATAACAATGTGATTTGGCTATAATTCACTATTACAGATAAAATCACAGAAAAGATGAAGGCTATTGTTCCTGCTGTTAGGTCTGTACAGCATTCATGGTTCTCTGAAGTGTTTATTTAAATTGTCCTTCTTTGAACCTAAAGTTGAAAGGGTATCTGAGAGAGATTCTGTCATCTACTTCCCTCATTTTTATAGAGCAGAGATGTCATGTGACCTCCTGAAGACCTATAGGCCAAAGGTGAGCGAGAATCAGACAGTGACGGGCTAGCACAAGAGTTAACTTACTTTGAAGAGTGTGGGGTTAGGAGGAACTAGTCTCAGTAGGGATTAATGTTGTTTCTAGCTGACTAAAAGCAGATCACTCAGTTGGCATCGTCTGCAACAACACAGTAGATATTTATTAGCAGACCAGTGATAGGTTCCACAGTGTCTACGGACCTTTGTACAAAGCTCTGATAAAACCAGAGAAGCCAACAAAATTACTGCATTCCTCACATACTTGAGGGTTGGTCCTTCTACCTTGTGAAAACCCATTTGAAAGAAAATACATAGCATTGATAAAGTTCCTTCTTTATATAAAGCATAGTTTTCTTATTTTAACATAAAGGATGTTTGAGAGATGCAACAACATAAGTGCTTTGGGCAGCTAAAAAAAATAAATAAATAAAAATAAAAATAAATTAAAAAAAACTACAACAGAATTATTAAGAAAATGTCAAAGATAATATCAGAATATACTGTGGCCTTGCCACATATACCAGTGGTTTTCAAACAGATTTTAAAATCACTTAAGGGTTTTAAAAATATCAATGTTCATGAACAAACTCCAAAATTGAATCAGAATATCTTGGATGGTACTTTGCCTGTAATATTTGTTTGTTTGTTTATTTGTTTATTATTAAAGCACCTCCTGGGTTTCTAATATGCTGACAGGTTTGGGAACCACTTACATAAACCAAAGGCAAGTTTATACATTAAAAAATGCTGCATCCTATCCAGAAAAGAAAAAAAAAATTTCTTTCATTTACCTTACTTTATCTCCTAACTAAAAATGGGCTTCCTTTATGTCAAATTTCATGAGTTGTTACTTTCAATCCATGTCTAGAAGTTCAAGATGAAGGAGACACAATTGTTATTTGACTCAAGACAAGGAAATTATTACAAACATAAGTATTCCAATGGAGGCCATATCACCAGATGCATGAAGAAAATTTTTTTCTGCTCATAGTCTTGGACTCCAATATGACATGTAGCCCTTCAAATGGACCTGGTTCAAAGGTGATGGCATATTATAAAGCTGGACTTGACCTTCTTTTGAAAATGGTTCCAAACTCAGATTATTTAAGGAGTTATTGGGTGTGTTTCATGACATCCTCAAACAGTACCCCAAAGAACACGGAGGCATCAAATAATGCCCTAACCTGGGTTGCCTCCAACTGGGGGAAGAGGCCAAACCTTTGAGTCAAAGGAATAAATCAGCATCACAGCATGCTGCGATCATCACCAAAGAGTCAGAACACTCTCAAGTGATGAGAGAACTAGAGGTAGCCTGAGTAAATTTGGTGGCAATAAAATGGGGGGAAGCTTAGGAACTATTTCATATCTTTTATATGTCTTCATTCCTCCTTGGAAGCATGACTCATAATTAAGAGAATTCTTTTAGCATCTCTTAAATTCTGAATAAATCCTTTGGAAGTGTAGGGAATCTAAAGATCATTCAAAAATATTTTGTGACCCTAAATAGCTCACCTTCTAGGAAAGAAATGAGAGAGTAATGATCACTAAATTATTTGTCTGATTAAAGCTCAGCTATAGAAGTGAAACAAGAGGTTTCCAGATATCAGCCCCAGTGGAATGAGGAGGCATCGACCATAAAATATATGTCTTGAATTGCCCTAATCATTTTTGAGATGTCATTTGCCCTTCAGTGATTCCAGTCAATATTACATAGTACAAGTTCCTATACCAAAAGCCAACGATGGGGCAAAACTTTGCCTATATTGTGTGAGTTCTCTTAACAAAATAGTGATCAGTGTGATTTAAAAAAAGGAAAAAATGCTATGTTTAAGTTCATTTTTGGAGGCTAGAATTTGATCACATGCCTTGAATTGATTTTCACTGCTATCATCATCATTTGGGAAGAGCTTTCTGCCATGGTTGTTCAAGTTGGAAAATCTATTTCCTATTCAGTTCTAGCAAAGCATGAATAACTTATTGAGGACCAAAAACACCAAAACAAAGGTAAACATTATTGGTATATTTAAAAGAGGAGGAGTAGTCTTATGACAAGAACGGAAGAGGGAGTAAAATTTTATAAAACTATCTAGGAGATGCTAGCAAAGTATTCTAGTAGTGGAGATATCATTAATGAAGAAGGTCTGTTTAGCACAGGTGTCGGCAACCTACAGCTCCAGAGCCGCATGCGGCTCTTTTCAAGCTTTACCGCGACTCCGACAACTTGCAAGCCTGTGTAAAAATGAAGGTAACGTCTTACAGCCCTGATGTGCTGACACTGTGCACTGAGGTTCAGGAGCAAAAATCCCATTAACCAGGTAAATTAAATATTTTAATTAGCTATTAATTTGCAAAAATATGTTTTACATTGTTAAGTGAAAAAGTCCTTTTTTTCTTCAGATTGACAGCTAACTGCACGATCCGGTATATAGCATTAAGGTAAGAAACAATATATACAGTGTTATATTTGTTTTAAATGTCGCAATGGTTTCGCAGCTCCCAGGTTTTTTTTTCCTTCGGAAACGGGTCCAAGTGGCTCTTTATGTCTTAAAGGTTGCAGACCCCTGGTTTAGCAGCTGTGAATGAATGACTATTATTGAAACTTAGAAAATAAGAGCCTAACTTTTTAAAAAATGCTAAGAAAATTCCCTTTAGAAAGATTACGAGGGTGTAAAGTCTTATTATAACACCATATTTATGGGAAGCATGAGGGAAGCCATGACCTGGAGGGCCAAGAAATGGTTAAAAGACTCTGATAACTTATCACACTAGCAAACACTTGTCAAAAAATTATCAAATCCATGCTTGGCAACAGTACAGAAGAAGAAGTAATTACCTCTTAAGCTATTGGCAGAAGTTTGCCAGCATCTATCAGAATGTTAACATTATACCTTTGACCAGAAACTCCATTTCAGAGAATGCATCCTAAGTAAGCAATCAGCAAATGTGTAAAGATATTTGCAGAAATATATCCATTCTGATTTCTCTTACATCTGATATTAAAAATTAGAAATACCTCAATGTTCATCAGGAGGAAATTAGATACATAGATTACAGGAGGGCCAACAGAATCCCAGGTGCCCATTAAAAAGCATAATGAAATTCTTGAGCTATTTTGTACATGAAAATATATAAATAACATTTTTATAGTCAAGTCAAAGTGCTGATAAGGCATAGTATGAATGATAAAATTCCATTTTTATTTTTAAAATGTATATACATAGAAAAATCTCTAAGAGTATGAATATAAATGTTAAAGGATACACAATAAAGGATTAGCAATAATTGTCATTGGGCAGGACATTTTGTCTTGAGATATTTTATGTCCTTCATTATACATCTTTATATTGATTCTTCATATTTCTATAATTTCTGAAATTTTATAAAGATATAACCTTTATTATTAAAAAATTTAAAAATGACTAATGTTTTTTCTTTTTTTTAACACTTAAGTTAACAGACCTTAGAGGTTTGTGGTTATCAAAGGTCAGGAACAAGAAGAGGTTAGGGATCCTGAGTGCCACATCAGTTAGGAATCATTGTTATGACCATCATAGGAAAACTAAAGCTGCCTTCCTTGGCCAGGGGTCACACACATTTGGAGGAGAAAGCTAACTATCAATATATAATTACTTTCCAAGAGTGAGGTGTTCAGATCCTTTAGTAATCACCTGGGTTCACATGAATTGTGCCTTATTCTACTTGACCTGTCTGTAACTTTAATAATGTTAATCATACCCACCTTTCCAGAAATCTCTTCCTCCTTAACTTTCAATTTATCACTCTCTCCTGCATGGTTAAAAGGTTCTGTGAGTTTCTTTTTAAATACTGCCAATTCATTTCTTGTTCTCATCCTGTGAAAATGCATATTCCCTAGAGTTCTTTCATAAAGCTTCTTGTTTTGTTTGTTTATACTGTTCCTGAAAAATCTACTGTGTACTCAATCTCACTCATTCACCCCTCATTAGCTTGTTCACCAACATTATGACCCATATCTAGACTTGGATACACATCTGTCCTGTGGACATTTCCAATTAAATGGCTCAAAGACCTCTTAAAGTCAATATAAACTGAAGTAAACGTATTGCATGTGTGTGCACGCACACACACACACACACACACACACACACACTTCAACCACACATTATTTTTTTTGTATTTTCTTTTTGATAAATGCTACTGTTGGCAACCTCTCCCAACACCAGAGCCTGAAAAGTCAACCTCAACACTTTCTCCCTCACTATTCCACAAAGTCTTATAAACTCTGCCTCCTAAGCAGCTCACTTATTTACACTCCACTTTCCACTGCCACTGCCACTGCCACTGTTTTGGTTTAGACCAAACACATCAAACTCAAAGGTTAATACAGGCCAAATAAACAAGGTTTAAGTTTATGTGGGCTGCAAAAAAACAAAAGCTTCAATTTTCATAGAAACATAGTATATTTTGATAGAGACATGCAGAATACAAAGAGCTGAAATAAATGAGCAATAGTTAACATAAAATAATAGAACATTTTAATAAAATTAGTACTTTTTTAACATTAACTTACCAGACACTGAATAACTGCACAAATTAATAAGCATAACGCAAATAAACCTATTTTTCTTGTTCTCCGAAAGTGAAATATCTCTTGTTGCACACACCAAACAAGTCAGAACAAGACTAATGATGTGGCAATTGGCTGCTAAAATATTCACTACTAGTATTAGTGAAGAGAAACGGTATGCCTGTGTGAAGGCATGTAAGGGAAATTAATGCAACATGATTATAATAATCAGTCATCAGCGAACGTTGTAGTTCATTATTAATAATTATGTATAACAGGATATTGTAAAAATTGTTATGAAATTTTTATTAAGAGGTTTCTTACATGCTGTTATATTGACTAGGCCACAAAAATATTTTTTGTGGGCTGCATGTGGCCCACAGGCCACGAGTTTGACATGCTTGGTTTAGACCCTCTTTACATTTCTTTAGATTATTTTATTAATAATAATCCTTAAATGGCCCCTGAGTCTTAAACAAATCTTACATCAAGCTTTCTCCTGATGTGCATATATAATCATGGCATTCCCCTATTAAATTCTTCATGGATCACCATTGCCTTCAAATTCTCCACCATCTTTTCTTACCATTTCA